GGGGTGGAGGATCGGGGTTGGCTCAGGGAGCGGAGACTCGTGTGCATTCTCTTCGTATGCTGGTAATTAACGCGCTTCTCGCCCTATCCTTAATTATAATCCGTAATTTTAGGATTTTCGCCACGTTTATTATCTATTTATAATATTATCGCTCTTCGAGATGGCGTCCGAATTGATGACACGTAGAAATCGTAAATAGTTGATTTAAAGCGTGACGCTTTACTCTCTTCTTTCCCAATTATTCGTCTTCGTCCCTCGTTACCTATCTCTCTCTCTCTCTCTCTCTCTCTTTCTCTCTCTGTCATTGTATGTATGCGTGTAATGTATTTATGTTATGTAACTGTTATATATATATATACCTTCATGCACTATGGTATCAATGTTATTTTCTTATTCTTGTGTTAACGGCGTGTGTATCAATATCTTTGTTTTCTTTATAATCCGTATACAGTATTGTGTAATTGTGCGGCGCGTTACGCAAGCGCCCTCTGTGTATGTAATTGGACTCTATGTATGTTATATGTATTCACGTAAATATATATATATATATATATATATATATATATATATATATCCGTATAGTGTATCTGTCTGCCTGCGTTTTATATGCTGCCGAGATGCTGGACTTTGACAAATTCCCAATGAATTTTCTCACGAGCCGAATTCACGATGAAGGCGCTAAATTCTACCATCTTGGGGAGAGACGAGCAATGGTTGTTGTGGGGTGGCGACCGCTTAGGAACCTACGTCCCATCCATGTCACCTGAAAGACATTGAAAGCTTATTATGCATATATTATAAATCTCCAAATCGGTATATGCTTAATTTTAACATAAAAGGATTGCTTCGTCTTTATTTTCTTAAATTGTCAACAAATTTTTGTTACAGTCAGCATACAAGTAATATCTTTCTTTTTTTACCAGGACGCTCAGAAAATTGAAATTTACCTTGGCTGGACGATTTTGAGACTCACGAGTGAGGCTGCGGCGTGCAATGGTCCCGCTTATCTCCCGTAGTCGCTGCTGGCGGCTTTATCGCCGGTTTTTCTTCGCTAACCGGCGTCGGGGGTGCGTCCTTTCGGGGCGGCATCCTTTCGTTTATCGCGTCCAACCCCTTCGCCTCGGCGAACGACGTGATCTTGTGATTCGGCGAGAAACCCTGCAGCGCTGTGAAAGGAGGAACGATTATAATTTAATCTTCAGGTTTAATCTCGATTATAATTTATCTGATAAGGTTATCGTTATCTTTTTCTTTTTTTTTTTTTAGGGACAGTACATAGACATCCTTACCATTTTTTAGGGACGTCTTTCCACCCGACAGGGCACCCAGGGGCAGAGCACCCGTTGGCGTAAGACCCTTCAGTTGCAAGACGCTCTCGCTCTCCTCCCTAGAGATAAAAAACGGGGAATGATCAAGATTTTATAATATTCTAATCCACGTATCTTCCATATACACGGACCCGTATGGAATTACTATATCGATCTCGAAATTAATCGCACTCGGTGGATTGAATCAACGCGTACCAATATCCGCGCAAAAATTTCGAGCGACGGAAACTAATCGCCGTTCAGTTTGGTACCAGCACTGTAGGTGGATGCAGAATTGACGATATTCCGGAATTCAAAGGTTCTACCCGTACATCCGGTTGATTCACAGGGTTGAGATACAGATGGATGGACAGGTATAGGGCGCGGACTATTTCATTGAAATTTCATCACTTCTATGCTTTGGGGGGGATTGGATGCCAACTAAATTCTATTCCAGCATCTTCCATACGGTCTGACCCTCGTGTTACTATGTAATTTCTTAAGCAATCGAATAACTTCCGGATCGGATGGTCTTACTGACCTGAGCACGGAGAAGACGCGGGCCATTTTCCCGATTGCTCTGATCTTGTTCCTGATGACTTCCTTGCGGAGATTGGCTGCTGCACCTGCGAGAATACACGTTTTATTCATTTATCATTTTATTATACACCCTTCGCGTCTCATCCTGATAGCGCAGTATCTCTGAAATTTATTATTGTAATCGTTTCCTATATTTCGTGTCCAGGAGCAACAATGAAAATGAGTGATTATTATTGATTTTTAAATAATTCGATCTTCGACTGCATACTTACATAGGTTTTGAAAAAAAATTTTCTTTTACCCGATAATCATTTTTCAATCATTTCCATAACAGGTTAATAGGAATATCAAGATATTGCGCTATGTTCAAGAATGTAATATGTATATTTTTTTATTTCAATCCATATACGCAGAATTATTATATTCTTTTATTCATAGTCATTACAACGCACAGCAAAACGAGCATAACAGATCAATCGTATGTAAACGTAAATTATTTAACGTTGGTATCAGTGCGCAATTAGCGAACGCGTTACGGCTACTTTATATATACATATAGTATATATGATTGAGTGCGCAATGCTCGAAGCTGCGTCTGGTATGATTACATATGTATATATATATGTATATCGACGACCAATATGTTACAATAAGATCGTGCAGATGCGAGCGAAAATTGAATTTCCATGCAACATGCAGGCGGAAGAGTTTAGAAAACGCGCGAGACCTGAACGTCGTCGTGTTTGTAAAATCGCCAGACCGGAAGTTCGGCAGTATCGCAGTGAAAAAAAAAAAGTAACTATAGAAATGAAATAAAACCCACATACCACCCACAAACCCACATATAAATGAAATAATACCCATATATCTACGCCATACGAAAATTTTCTCGAATGAAAATTTTATTTTCCAGGTAAACGATCGACGACCAAGAAGAAATCGTGTTAATTAGAATTTTTCAAAACGAACAATGGTGGACAAACTGTACGTCTGACGAACCCCACGATAAAACAATAGAATTACCTGCAATCTCTGACAAGTACTTATCGGTCTTTTTTTCTCTTAAAAAATTTTGTTCTTAATTCTCTCTCTAAAGACCTTCTTACTTACAGGCTTACGCTATCAACCGGGATGTGATCGATCGATATTTCTCGAAGGATTTACCGATTGGATAATTCCTTTTTTACTTTTCTTCTCCTAATAACGTCCGTCCAGTTTGAGGACTGAACAATGGATTCCGACGAGAGAGAGAAAGATAGGAGCAGTTCTCTCAAGTTCTTTCGGAGTGGGGGAAGCGG